ATGGTAGATACCAACAGCGACCAGTCACCAGGGCTTGTCTGTATGTCAGACATTCTTCGACACCATTCTATGTGCTTTACAAGTATTACCTTATTCATCTTCATAGCAAACCTCTGAGCTCAGCAGTGTTGTCTGTGTATTAGAAACGAAAACTGAGTTTCAAAGAAATGAACTGGTTTGTTCAAAGTCACATGGATAGTGGTATATATATATATACACACACATATATATGTACACACACACACACACACACATATATACTGCTGAATAAAATCTTGCCATTTGCAATGACATGGATTGAGCTAGAGAGTGTAATGCTAAGTGAAATAAGTCAGTCAGAGAAAGACAAATACCATATGATTTAACTCATATGTGGGATTTAAGACACAAAACAAACGAGCAAAGGGGAAAAAAAAAAAAAGAGAGAGAGAGGCAAACCAAGAAACAGACTTAACTCTAGAGAACAAACTGATGGTCACCAGAGGGGAGGTGGGGGGGATGGGTGAAACAGGTGATGGGGACTAAGGGCACACTTACCAGGATGAGCGCCGGGTGTTGTACCGAAGTGTTGAATCACTATGTTGTACATCTGAAACTAATATGACACTGTAAGTTCACTAACTGGAATTTAAATAAAAACTTAAAAAAAGGTCACATGGCTGATAAGTGGTAAAGTGAGGATTGAAACCCAGATTTGTTTCGGTTCAAAGCTTTCATTTTTTTTTTTTTAATTCCTGCACACTGATCCTGGTGATAGATTGTCATACATCCTTTCAAGATACTAGAAGGAAAAGTGCCAGCATATCTGTTGTCATTGCTAATTACACATGGCACCAGGAGCCAGAGAGCTGGAATGTAATAGAGATAAAGACAAAGCCAGAAAATCTCCAAGCCTCATGTGGACCAGTAGTCTCATTGTCTTTCCCCACCCCCAAAGACTGCAATGAAGCAAAATGTAGATGGGAAGTGGTCTTTTTATGAGAGTCTCTTCTACTGCTGAAAGCCAGTGTGGATGGTGCTAAATAATGCACATAATGGATTCAGGTCACTCCTTCGTTAGGCCACTAGTCTGCTAATCAGCATCCACAAGAACAAGCATGCAGGGTTATGATGATGTTCTTTACTGGAGGAGAAGTAGATCTTGAAACAGTTTAGTGTAGGAGAAACTCTGTGCCTTTAAGGGTTCTTTGGATGTGCAAAGGAAGTCCCTTCAAGACTAAGGCTTCTGCATGAATGGGGCTCCCATGAGTTACTCTCCTCTCTCCCTCTCCAGTCTTTCACGACTCTAGAAACCATCTTCTTCCTCAAGAATGGAGGAAGTTGTGCCTTTGGTTTGGCCCTGAGCCTTGTAAACTCAAGTGGCACCTTGGGTTTCTTTTCAGCCACCCTTTCTGGAAGGAAAGGAAATGCTTCCAGTCCACAGGACTGATGTCCTCACTCGTGATCCTTAGAAGAAAGCCCCTTGTCAAAGAGCACTTTTTTCTTTCTTTTAGTTTTCTGTTTTGAGGATTGAGTTAATTATTTACAGCAAATTTGTCATTGTTGGTCTTAGGGAAGCCCTTCTCTTGTTTTATTTTTACTGATTTATTGATTTTTATCCCCACAATCAACTCCCATCCATGTCCTGCATAGGCAACTCTTCTAATGTTTTAATATGTACTTTTTTAGAGTGTATGTATTTTTATTTTACATAAATGGTTTTAGGTAATATATTTCATTCTGTTGTTTATCTTTTAAAATTAGCACTTGTTTTTGGAGAAGTCCCAACTTTACTCAGCTATAATTTCCGTAAAATAAAATGCACCCATTTTAAGTGTGTAAATTTTGATGTTTTGACACCTGCGTATAGAACATTTTCGTCATCCTAAAAGTTCTCTCCTGTCCCATCTCAGTCAATGCCCACTCCTCTCACCAGCCCCAGGCAACCACTGATGTGGGTTTTTTGGTCACTGTAGATTAGATTTGTCCTTCCTAGAGTTTTATACAAGTAGATTTACTCAGTATATTCTCTTTTGGTCTGGCTTCTTTCACTCAGTCCAGTGCTTTTTAGATTCCTACATACTGCGTGTAACAGCAATTAAAGCTTCTTTATTGCTGAGTAGTATTCTATTATATGGATAAACTGCCATTTATTTCTTTGCTACTGGATGGATATTTAAGTTGTTTCTACTTATGATAAATAAAGCTGCTGTGAAAATTTATGTATACTTTTTGGAGTCGACATAACTCTTTCTTTATCTTGGATAAATACCTAGGAATGGAATTGCTGGATTGTATGGTAAGTACGTTTAACTTTATAAGAAACCATCAAACTAAAAGAAAACCCCAGGGCGCTTGGGTGGCTCAGTGGGGTAAGCGGCCGACTCTGGATTTCGGCTCAGGTCTTGATCTCAGGGTCCTGGGATTGAGCCCCACGTCGGGACCTATGCTGAGTGTGGAGCCTGCTTGAGATTCTCTCTCTTTCTCCCTCTGCCTCTTCCCCCCACATCTTTCTCTTAAATAAATAAATAAATAAATCTTTAAAAAAAAACCCAAACCAAAACAAAACAAAACCCCCACCAAACTGACTTCCAAAGTGGTGATACCATTATAGTGAGCACTGGTTTTCAACACTCAGCCATATTTATTTGTGTGCATCTAATTCTCCAGCTTACGATAGCCCTCAGCATATTCCCTTATGGAAAGTGTGGGGATTTCTTTGGAACATGTACCCAGGTTTAAAATTTCTGAGTCACAACAAATGCTTACACTTAATTGGACTACACATCATTAGATCCTCCCCAGAATGGCTGCTTCCATCTCAGAGTAGGAGCCAGGTTTTGTAGGGCTTGCTACTCTTAGAATTTTGGGATTCTTGTCAAGAAGAACGTAAAATTACAAATTCAAAATTAGGTCCAAAAGTGAATATGTATTGAGAATGAGCTAAGAAATTACAATAGGTTACTGGGACCTTTTAAGATCGTTAGCTTTACTAACGTTTCCTGATTGCAACCTTGTTTGCCCTCCTTAGCTAGAACAATCTAGAATTCTCGGCACTCACAAGAGTCCAAGCAAGCGAGGGGCCCTGAAACTTCATGAGCTTCATAGTCACTCTGCCTCTGAGCCTCACCCCACCAGCAGTCCATGAAGGTTCCTCTTTTCTCATTTCCCTGACATTTTTTGGCATTATTCAGCTTTCTAACGTTTGCAGTCTATATCCAGTCCGCTGCCTGACTGTGTATGGCCCATGAGCTAAGATTGGTTTTTACATTTTCGAATCGTTGAAGAAAATGAAAAGAATAATATTTAGTGATGTGTAAAAATTATATGAAATTTCAGTGTCTATAAACAAAGTTGGATTGGAACACAGCCCACCCATTTGCTCACATGCTGGGGTCGCTTTTGTGCTACGAAGGCAGAGCTGAGTATTGCAACAGAGACTGCGCAGCCCGCAAACCCTAAAACAGTTACTATGTGGGCCTTAACAGAAAAGGTATGATGACCCCGGGGACTAGAGGGTTCATTTTTCTTGGGGCCAACGGTCTTATTTCATATCAGAAAGGAGATAGTCCTCCTGTTGGTGTGCCCCGGCTTCTGCCCATTTTGATATGATAGATCTTTCCATTATTGTGCTAAAAAGCATTTGGCTCTTTTCTGATCTATCTGCCAGCCTTATGTATCCGTAAGCCATTACTCTACCTCCTTCCACTCCCAGACTCAGGGCCTTACTACAGAAATGCTTTTTTTTTTTTTTTAAAGATTTTATTTATTTATTTGAGAGAGAGAGAGAGCACGAGAGGGGGGAGCGGGAGAGGGAGAAGCAGACTCCCCGCTGAGCAGGGAGCCCGACGCGGGACTCGATCCCAGGACTCCAGGATCATGACCTGAGCTGAAGGCAGTCGCCCAACCAACTGAGCCACCCAGGCGCCCCCAGAAATGCTTTGTTATTGCTCATGTGCCCATGGGTAAATGCACTTTGGCGGGATTGCTCTGCTTGGGGCTGGAGTAGCAGGGGCGGCTTTATTTCTCACCGCAAATCTCTGGGTCAGCCGGGGTGGCCCTGCCCCGTGTGTCTCTCATTGTCTTTGGACCACGGGGGCGTGCTCTTCTCCTGGGGATGGCAGAGGCACAACAAGGCAAGTGAAAACATTCATCACCTCTTAGAGCCTAGGCTCAAGACTGGCACCTTGTCACTTCTGCCCATGCGTCATTGGCTGAAGCAAGTCAAATAGCCAAGACAAAAGTGAGGGAGAGCAAAGTGTATTCCCCCTGGGGTGAGACCTTACAAATGTGTGAGTTCAAGTGGGAGTAAAATTGGGGTCGATAACGCAATCTACCATATATTATAGGAAACACCACAACGGGAGCAAATTGGCCTTTCCTTTGGCACCTAGGAAGATGCTACTTGTTCTTCTCAAACACGCACTGTTAAAAGAAAGGTCTGTCGCCTCCCTGCTCATTGCACTCCACAAATGCTGACAAGTGAGTTTCCGGTGGTGATGGCCATGGGGCCATTAGGTATTTCCCTCTGCTTCTGCCCTCCCCTTACTAATGAACTGCCAACATCGTAGGGTGTCCTCATTGCTGGAGGGAACGCAAGGAACACAGAAGTAGCCCTCCTTTTCTGTCTCATTGCTCTCTCTCTTTTCTTTTACCAGACATGAATTAATAGTAAAAACATTTCCCCCTTCTTGGCTCCCCAGTTGTATTATAAACTTCCTCAAAGGCAAGGCTGTGTCCTCTTTTTGTTAATGTCTCTTCCCCCCTTATCCTGGCCTCCTCTGGAAGTTGCAGACAAGGTAGGTGGTGTAGTCAGTGGCCAATCCACCAGTGTGGTTGACTACTTGCCCGTCTGTCCAATCTTCAATGACTGTTCCCTTTCTGGTTCACTGATCATGAGTCCGCCATGCTCCTCGGGGCAATAAATACCAGTCTGGACTGCCCAGAATGGAGCCCTCTTCCTGTCTTGCCAGCCCAGAAGCCTCCAAGCCTCCTAATCTCCCCCTGAGCCCCCAGCGTCCATGAAGCTCATTCTCGTGGTTTTGACTATTACCCTGCTCCTGGTCCAGGTCACCCAAGGTAAACAGGATCTCTCCTAAGGGGCAGTGGGTCATGTTCAGGGAATTCTAGGGTCTCTGACAGCCTGGGCTAGGAGAATGGCAGGCTCCACAGAGGCCTTTGGATGATCTCTGTAGCCAAGGGAAAATTTGAGTTGTCTGGTTCCAACTGATCTTGCCAGTGCCATTACTTGACACTCTGATCTCTGGCTCGCTCTGGAAAAGTGGAACATGATGATCTGGGCAGAGGGTATGTGCAAGAGAGAGATTTGGATGTGGAAGACAGTAAAAATAGGTACTTTTCCAAAAACAGTGTGGGGGAGGATTTGAATTTTGATCTATTGTTGCCTCCATGAAAATGGTTCCTGAATTTCTGATTGAGGATTCTTTTTTAAAATATTTTATTTATTTATCAGAGAGAGAGAGAAGGAAAAAGCACAAGCAGGGAGAGCAGCAGGCTGAGGGAGAGGGAGAAGCAGGCTCCCCGCTGAGCAGGGAGCCCGATGCAGGACTCGATCCCAGGACCCTGGGATCATGACCTGAGCTGAAGGCAGATGCTTGACCGACTGAGCCACCCAGGTGCCCCTCTGAGGATTCCGATTCCATTCTCAGGCAACCTCAGTTTATCCGGGCTACTTTAGCTTGTAGGTTCTGCAGAGCAGCTGTTCCTGATTATCTTGGCTGGTTAAGACCAGCAAAACGGCCTAGGATGTTGTGGAGAAGGGAGTAGGACATTCTTGGGAATTTTACCGATGCCCTAGAAGATGTCCAGATGGATTTATTTCAGATTCCTGTCCCGTTTCATTGATATGGTCAGAGAGGGTACTGAGGGCAAAGGGGAAAGGGAGCTGATACGGGACACCTGGTTACACTATACTATGGGGGAGACGAAACCATGGAGAGAGGGGGACTACCTGTCTCCCCCAAAGGAGCTGGCCAGGGAGGGGAAGCTGCCCAATAATAGGTCCCAGGCCACGGAGTGGGGAGGACTTTGGGATTGTGACTGAGGACACAAATGGGAGAAGAAAGGATAATGGCCCATCATCTCTCCTAAATCTGGAGGATGCCTTGTAAGGGCTTCTTCCCCATATATGTCCTGTTTCCCTTACTACTGGCTTCTCTGCTGGACTTTGACCTCCCCCTTCCCCCAGCCCTCTGCTTTATTTCAAGACTGACCCTGCCTTCTCCTTTTTTTTTGTTCTCTCCTTCCCTTTTGATTGCAGCCATGTATTGCTGGGGTAAGTTGGGAAGGTGCAAAACAACGTGTGAACAGAATGAAGTATTCCATATATTATGCACAGATGAAGCTAAGTGTTGTGTAAACCCCAAGAATGTACCTGTCAAAACTTGATCCTTGGGGCGCCTGGGTGGCTCAGTTGGTTAAGCAACTGCCTTCGGCTCAGGTCATGATCCTGGAGTCCTGGGATCGAGTCCCGCATCGGGCTCCCTGCTCAGCAGGGAGTCTGCTTCTCCCTCTGACCCTCCCCCCTCTCATGCTCTCTCTCTCTATCTCATTCTCTCTCTCAAATAAATAAATAAAATCTTAAAAAAAAAATCAAAACTTGATCCTTAAGTGCACCTGGAAGCCTGGGGTAAGCTGTATAGTCTGACCCCTCTAGCCCAACGTTGAGTCCAACATCATTAGAGCCCACAGTTCTATTAAATCATTCTTAGCTGTACCATTTGCGTCTGGCAGTTCGGCCTCATTATACTTACAAATCAATAACAAAGGAAAGTGTGTGTGCAGATTAGGGAGAACGGGATGGACCAGTAGGTCATAATAATCTGTTTTGCAGACGCTCCTAGCCTGCTGGCCCATAGCTCGTCCCAGATGATATAAATGAAGAATGTTCATTCCATCCATTTGATTCTTGTTTTCTAGACCAGCACTGCCAATAGAACTTTCTGCAGTGATGGAATGTCCCGTCTCTGTGTTGTCCAATATGGTAACTACCAGCCACAGGTGGTTATTGAGCCTTCGAAATGCGGCTAGTGAATAAGTGCACAGAGTGACCTGTTGCATCCTTGTTTGTAATGCAAAAGCAAAACCCAAAAGCATTCTAAATGTCCATCAGTAGGAAAATGAAGTATCCATGCTAATGACGACTATGTCTCACCTAAAAAAGATGATGTAAACATACCTAACTCCGCAAGACATATTGTGGGATGAAAAAAGAAAGACATCCCCTGAAATGGAAAACAAAACATCAGTTTTCTGAAGGTGTGTATATATGTATAAAGTCAGCAGGGGACAACAATGCAGATGCAGATCATTTGTTTTTTAAATCATTCCATAAATACATATTATGTGATTTTTATTAATATCTTTTCCCCTGAAAAGACATTAAGCTCCATGAGGATAGAAAAGAAAAAGAAAAAGAAACGTGGCTAGTGTAACTGGGGAACTGAGTATTTAATTTAATTTAATGTAATCTATACTTATGTTTAGATAGCTAAGTGTGGGTAGTGGTTATCATATTAGACACTGTAGCTTTAGGCTCTTGAGATACAGGCTGCTTCTTTTTCTCTACTTTCACTCCAAAAGGCTGCAACCCTCCCTGGATAAGACCTGCAAATCTACCCTGTTAGGGACTCCAGGATCGTGTCTCATCATTTTCTTCAACCTGCAGAGAGAGCTGGTATCAGGCCCCATGTGGGTTCCTGCTCCATCTCTTTCCTTTCCTCCCAGTTGGGGCCACATGATATTGAATTGTGGGCTAGTCTTTTTCCAGGACTGATCCTGAACTGAGACAATGGGTATCTTCCCATCACCTACTCACTCTCCAGTCCCTTCATATGAGAACGCTAAAACTGGCCTTAGCCGTATGGCTTGCCTCCGTCATCCCCAGCGCACCCCTCTGCTGTAACTTCCAGCCTCAGTGTCTAAGTCTTAATGAAAGTGTCAAAGGAAGAACACTGGATTCAGAATCAGAAGGTCTGGATTCAAATCCTTGACCACATATCCGCCGCATGATGCTAGGCAAGGCATTTAACCTTCTCTGTTTTATCTTCTCATTTCTAAAGTGAGGATTCATCCCACCAGAGGCACAAGGCTGTTGTAAGATTAAATGAAATAACAGGTAGGAAATGTCCAGCACAGAGGCTAGCACACATTTGATTCCCGTTAAGACTCCGGAGGCCCTCCTCTTCCCTTCTCGTATCAGGTCCGCCATCATGGCCCCTTGAGTCTTCCTTGGCAATGCCTTTGTACAAACCCTACTATTACGCTCTGCTCTCTTGGCTCAGTCCCTCCTTGGTGTCTTTCCTCTTCTTTCTCACACCTGATAATTCCCGCCCCCCCCCACCCCAGGTTACTTGAGCAGGCATAGAGAGTGAAAAGATCATTTTCTTTCTGCCCAGTTATTGGAAGGAGAGCCAGGACTTTGTATTCTAAATCCTGGCCTTCCTTTGCCACTGGGGAACTGAAAAAAAAATGTATGTGTGTGTGTGTGTGAGAGAGATAGAACAAGTTTCAGGGGCTGCCCTGAAGACAACTCTCCCCCCCCATCTTTGTCAGAGAGACCCAGGCACAAGGAATGCAGTTAGACAGGATTATCTCAGGAGGCGTGGGATGGAGATTTCAGCTTCAAGTTCAGGAGAGGAGTGGCCTGGCGTTTGGCGGTGTTGAATCTCCGCACAACAGGGAGAAGAGATGGGGGTTTGGTTCCCAGGCTGTTTGATAAAGCGCCCCGAGGTGCTAAGTCCTTGGATGGGACCGCCAGCATGGAGACAGCCACTGTGATGGCTGTGGTCCTGGGAGACACAGCACAAGCCTCCATGGCTGGGCCTGTGGTCAGCGGGGAGGGCCCTGGTGAGCAACAATTCTCCAATGCCCAGAGCTGCCCGATGAATGGCTGGTGGAATTCATCAGCAGTAGCCCGAGCATGAAGAGCAAGAGAACTGGAGATCGTCATCATGAAGTAAGGAGCAGGTTCCTCCTCATTTCCCAGAATCATGGGGTCCTAGTAGGATCAAGAGGAGGAAGGCAGAAGACCCCAACAGTCACTGACATTGGGCATCTCCCCAACTTTGTAAGTGGCATCTTGGAGCTGAATTTAAAACGCACATAAATAAAGAAAGCATTGGCTGAGGCTTGAGCGTGGTGGCGCCTTCATGACTGGTGTGTGGCTATTAACGTGTTAACGACTCTCAGAAGCAACCCTCTCACCAGCACCATGTCATGGCACATTGCTTGAAGCAGGACGCAGTCGGGGACATAGTGGTGTAGCGGCATCTCCAGCTGCCAGCCCCTCTATCATAGCCTCGCCACACTTGCATGCAAACTTGGCCTCATATTGCCTCTCTCAAGCCAAAGCCCCTCATCTGGATACTTTTCCTGCCTCACTGCGAAGGCGAGGAGAAGACGTGAGTACGTGCAAGTCAAAGAAGTCTGTCGAAGGCTGTGATTTTTTTTTTTTAAAGATTTTATTTATTTATTTGACAGAGAGAGACACAGCGAGAGAGGGAACACAAGCAGGGGGAGTGGGAGAGGGAGAAGCAGGCTTCCCGCGGAGGAGGGAGCCCGATGCGGGGCTGGATCCCAGGACCCTGGGATCATGACCTGAGCCGAAGGCAGATGCTTAACGACTGAGCCACCCAGGTACCCCGAAGGCTGTGATTTTATGGTGTTCGTTTCTTCCACCTTCTTGTCATATATTTTTTAAAGATTTTATTTATTTATTTGAGAGACAAAGAGCAGAAGCAGGGGGAGGGGCAGAAGGAGGGGAGAGGGGCCAGCAGAGTCCCCACTGAGCTGGGAGCCTGACTCAGGGCTCGATCCCAGGACTCCGAGATCATGACCTGAGCTGAAGTTAGATACTTAACAGACTGAGCCACCCAGGGGGTCCCCCTTCTTGTCATATTATTAACCTCACAGGTTAGAGGGAGGGTTCGCTGAGATAGAGTAAAAGTACGTGGCCTGTGTGGGACCTGCTGGGAACTCGATCGCTAGCACTTGCCTCCCCCTCTGCACCATGGGATTCAGGCTGCAGGGCGTGGGCAGCCTTTCAGGAGCTGAAAAATGCAACTGTGCAGATTTCAGGGGGTGGGGGGTGCAGGTCTTAGAGAACTGGCCAGGCCGGGCTGTACCGTGTGGGAGGCATTACCAAGGCTGAAGCTATGGTCTGTTCTGGTCTTGGCAGGATCCGGGAGATGCCACACAGTTCCCAGGGGCCAAGTTGGCTCTCTGACCAAGGTCTGCCTCTTTCCCTATCTCCTGGTCTCTTCTCCCATGGTGGCTTCTCCCACACTGGCCACGTTGGCAACCCGTGCCCCCTGCTGCCCACTGCCCTTAGCCTTGGCCCGGTCTCCTGGCTTAACAGAAAATCACCAGGCAACTGTCATGCTCCGGAGTCAGAGCACGTAGGGGCTCGAGGGGCACCGTGGGGCTGAACTGGACAGAACTCTAGGCCCTGGCACTTGATGGTCTGAGAACAAATACACATGTGCACATGTACTCAAGAACATACAAACAGGGCGCCTGGGTGGCTCAGTTGGTTAAGCGACTGCCTTCGGCTCAGGTCATGATCCTGGAGTCCCGGGATCGAGTCCCGCATCGGGCTCCCTGCTCGGCGGGGAGTCTGCTTCTCCCTCTGACCCTCCTCCCTCTCATGCTCTCTGTCTCTCATTCTCTCTCTCAAATAAATAAATAAAATCTTTAAAAAAAAAAAAAGAACATACAAACACACACCCACCCGATTACAAGTCTACACACAAATGACATGCAAGTATAAACATACTCACACATAAATATTCAAGTACTCACATATACAAAGTACCCACAAATAACCCGGGCACACAAAATATACATAAAATGCACAAAATGTGAGCATACACAGCTATGCACAAATTTACACATACACACAAGTACATATAAACACAATGTAAGGCAAATATAATCTCAGATCCCCAACTAGAGATGCGCTATAGCAATTAACCCATCTTTTTCTGTTTCTCCTTATCTCAGTCAAGGCTGTTTCTCTGAATCATCCCATGCTTCCTGGCAATCTCTGTCTACAAGGATTCATAAAGGGGCTTATGAAATATTGCAAAGAACTGTCACAAGGCGGGGCCTGGAATCCCCGGAAAGAACTTCTGGTCTGTTACAATAATAAAGCAGATCTTTTTTTTTATAAAGATTTTATTTATTTATTTGAGAGAGAGAATGAGATAGAGAGAGCATGAGAGGGGGGAGGGTCAGAGGGAGAAGCAGACTCCCTGCTGAGCAGGGAGCCCGATGTGGGACTCGATCCCGGGACTCCAGGACCATGACCTGAGCCGAAGGCAGTCGCCTAACCAACTGAGCCACCCAGGCGCCCACAAAGCAGATCTTTCTACTGCAGGCAGGAAGTGTCAGGTGTGTTATGTCCTCACTAAATACTTTCTGTGGATTCGCTCATCTGGTCCTCCTTAATAACCCTACGAAGTCAGTATGATTATTACCCCATTGTACAGCCAAAGAACCAGGTTCAGAGTTGATAACATTTTCTAAGGTACTACAGGTAGCAGACGAACTTCAGAACCCAGGCTTGCCAACATCCTGCTCTGCTGTCCGGTCCCGTGCCAAGTCCTGCAGACGCTGGATGACATCCTCAAGGACATCCAAGCAGCTCCGTTCCCAGCTCTGGACCAGATAGAACGCCTGGGATCTCCACTGCCCTTGCTGGATGTTTTCTCCTTTTACCCCCTTTCTGTTTGTGCTCTGCCGGCGACAATGCAGGCCATGTGATGATTTCTCCCTGGAGGAGAAAGAGCCTCCTTGCTAGCCTCTGCCTTGGCAATTATCTTCAGTCTGGACTGCCAGAGTGATTTTTCTAGGCTAAAAAAAAAAAAAAAAAAAAAAAAATCTGACCATGCCCCCACAGTCCTCTCTAAAAGATCTTACTATTCCCCATGGCTCACAGGACGGCTTCCCCAGCCCTGAGCATGGCATTGAAGCTCCCCGCCCCCCACACGTGGTGGCTGCCTCATGTCCCTCCGGGTCTCCCCTTCTGTTTCAAACATTCACAACCACAGCCGTGTGCTGACCATTCTCCTGACTTCCCTCTGTGGAAATCGGCTTTCTCTCGTCCGTTCTTTTCCCCACCCAGGAAGCCCCGGAGCAGTTCATGTCCTCTGACTAAGCCTCAGTTTTGTTAGATGTGAGTTGGAGGTTTATGATTGCCCCTTCTGATGGTAATAAAAAAGATAAGTATGAGGATGACGATAATAATGATAATGAAAAACAACAATAATAATAATAAATAATTATTCAACACCTACTATGTGTCAGGTACTTTGCTAAGCAATTTACAAAAGTTATCCATCCCATTTAATTAAATCAGAGATAGTTCTGATCTGTATTTTATCATAGGATGCTCAGGAAATTTACCTCGCTCGGGGTCAACAGGTATCAAATGTCAGGGCCAACACTCAAATTCAAATCTGTGTGAAATCAAAACCCATGCTCCATTCCTGGTATTCTAGGATTCTAGAATTCTCTTCTCTCTTCTCCTTTCATAGTTTCTGAAGTGCTGCCAGAAGCCCAATCCTTATTCAGCTTCTTGAGATCCTGGACCGAAGGGACACAGTCCATGTGCTTTCTCTACACTCTGGAAGGACTTGGGTTACTACCCCATTAGATCACTTCTCCCAGGTCACTTTCTCAGTGTATGTTATTTATTCAGACCATAGGTATTTATTAAGTTCCTGTGATGTGCTGGGTGTGTCAGAGGTTGTTAGCTCTTCCCCAATACCCTTCCTTCCCTTCTTCTTAGTAAGACTACCCCTGCATTTTAGCTAGCCATGGTTGCCCAGAATAAAGAAAACCTTTCCAGCCTACCCTGCAGCTAGGTGTGGCCATCTGAATAAGTTCTGGTCAATGCGCTGAAGTGGAAGAGGTGTGTGCAGATTCTGAGTGGCGTCCCTTAAAGGGAAAGGCGTGCACTTCATTTCCCTCTTTCTCTTCTCTGGCAGGAACTGGGACAGCCCTCTTGGGTCATCAGACAAAGCTGCCTGGGCAGGATGGCAGAGTGCCAAGCTGGGGGCAATCTTGCTCCCTGCCGAATCAGGAAGCTGCTTGACCGGATTTGTCCATAAGAAAGAAATCAATGTCTATCTTTTGGAATCTTTGTTTGGGGAGAATGTCTGTTCAAACAGTTGAATTAATATCCTAATCCAGGTGATGTTATGGGCAGTGGGGTTACAAGGCAAATTTCTGACATTCTAATGGGGGAAGACACAAAGATTAACCATGTAAAATAAAGTTGAAAAGAACAGATAAATCTAAGCAGGTCATGAATCAAGTTATAATGACATGGAGTGACTGTAGGTGGGAGTACCCTCATCTAGGGTGACCAGGAAAAGCCGATCCAGGAGATGACATTCGAGATGAGACTGAATGATAAACAGGAGCCGGCCCTGGAAGGTCTGCAGGAAGAACTTTACAGGAAGAACAAATAGCAAATGCTAAAGCCCTGAACTGGGAACTAGATTGGCAAGTTCAAGGTTCAGAAAGACATGCCCATGTATCCTTCTGTTAGAAAGTTGAGAATAAGTATTTTTTAATAGATATTCGTGTATTTTTAAAAATATAATTTAAATTTATTTATGAGAGAGAGAGCACGAGTGGGAGTGGGGGGATCGGGAGGGGCAGAGGGAGAGGGAGAAGCAGACTTCTGGCTGAGCAGGGAGCCCCACCGACCTCAGGACTTGACATAGAGCTGGAACCCAGGACCCCAAGATCAAGACCTGAGCCAAAAGCAGATGCTTAACCAACTGAGCCACCCAGGTGCCCCCCAATATGTATTTGTGTATTAATTAATTAGTTCTCTTGTGGGTCTTGAGAGGCCAACGGGCTTTCATCTGACTGTCTCCTCAGCAGGAAGGAAACCCACTGTTGGCATGGGTGCTGGCCAGTTTCCCACACTCTCATCTTGTGCTTGGCTACATCTGCTACACACTGTCCTTTGGCCTGGCTGATCTCATATAAATCCTCTCCTGCTAGAATTCACTGCCCACAACCCTGCCAATAAAAGCGAGGCTCATCCCCGCTGCAGAGAACTCTATTTCCCTCCCCTGCTGCAAGGCCACCTCCTTCTCCTGTGACCTGGCAGCCATGAAGTTTCTTTTCCTCTTTCTTGTCATCCTTCTGGCCATGGATCCAGTGCTCTCAGGTAACTTGGGTCTCTCTCAAGTGTCTGGGATCTTGGTCATGAACTTCTTGCTTTCCTCTCCCCTCCACTGTGGGCAGCACAAAACTTTTCCTCCTTTGATGGGGCTTTGGGAGGTTTCCCCAGGATCAGCTCACATCCACATCTCTGATTCTTTTTTGCCAAGATCGTGGGATGGTAGCTCTTTGGAGCACCTGACACTTAAGGGCAGGGTGGTGTTCTGGTGGGATCTTGGGAGAAGGTATATGGGTGACAGGGTTGGGTGCAGATTGGGAACCTGTTGGGGGCTTTGGGGCATTAAGATTAGAGGCTGAGGGTGAGCTGTGATGGGGAGAAACACTTTGGGGTTGGAGTGGTAGGGGGAAGATTAGGATGAGCTGGAGGTAAGGTGCTGGGCTCCCCTGATGGTTTGGGGCAGGTTGGGGAGCGGATGGGATTTTGGGTTGAGTGGAGGTGGTGCTGGGGGTAGACTGGAGCTTGGGCTGGAACTGAGAGTTGGTACTGAATAGTGCAGGGTGTCTGATGACTGCAGCTTAGGATTGAGGTTGGTGACTTGATTAAATTTGGGTTTGGCTTAGAGTTCAGGCTCAAGGGGCATTGAGTTGGGTAGGGCTGGGAGTTCTACTTAAGATTGGACTGGGTTCTGAGTTTGAATTGGGGGAATATGGTTAAGGAGGATTGGAGATTGGGTTGTGGCTGGACCCAGGTGAGCTTAAGTTAGGACCAGGCTATTGATTAGGAGCTGGGTCTTTTGAAATGAGGGTGAATCTCCTCCAACCCCTAATATCACAGGTAAAGTTTATTGTCCTTTCCCCATCATTCCCAAGCTCCATTAGGGGAGATCTTCTTTGGCATCAACTGATCCCAAAGTTAGGAGTAGCAGGTTGGGGGATGGGAAGACAGAGGGTGGGATGCCTGAAAAAGGCTTTCCTAAAAGCCTTGGAGTTCCCAAATCTGGAACAACTGTCTCAATTCCCTCCCCTCTCAAAATCACTTCTCCCTTTCCTGGGACTGGGTTCACTGTTAGTTACTCAACCGTCTCCCTTTCCCCCTTGCCCTGTTCCTCCTCTGCCTCTTCTTGTCTCGCCACTTGAGGGATACTAACATCTGCTTAATGGTTGTTCCTGTGCCCAACAGCAGAGTGTTGGATGGATGGAAAATGCCGGTTGGTGTGCAAAAATGATGAAGATAGTGTCATACGCTGCGCAAATCGTAAACGGTGCTGTGTCCCTAGTCGTTACTTAACAGTCCAGCCAATGACAGTTGAAAGAATGGAACCCTGGACCGTTCCTCACACGCCCAAACCAGTAAAACAAAAGACCAGATCCAGACCTGGCAGTAGACATTATGGATAGAAATGGCTTTGTTTCAGGTTCCTTAGCTCCCACATTCCATTAAAACTCACAAATCTGTTTCTTGTGTCCGTCAATCATAAGGAATGATGCTCCAAATGTATTGAGGGCGGGAGGGGTGGCTGATGGCAGGATGGGGGTTAAGAGGTAGCAGAGAGACATTGCTGGGGCTTGGCCACAGCAATGGGATGATAGTTACAGTCTTGAAGACAGTTCCTCATCTACCAGCTGCAGGAAAGTCTATTGGAGTGGGTTGAGGAGCACATCCGGGGAAGCCAAAAGACTTAAAGGCACAGCTGGTACCAAGAGTGGGGGAGAACCGCTGGGTGGGAGAGTTGCTCCATCTTGGGGGTGAAAAGGCTGGGGGTGGACAGAGACCGAGTAGAGCCCAAATCCTTGGGTTTCTACGGAAGTTGGTTGAGATGCCTTTTGATGCTGGAGGCCCCACAGCCCCAAAGATCAGAAGATTTCCAAGTGCTAAAAAAAGATAAAGCACATGAACTTACCCACTTATAAATGAGTTTGTTCACTCTTCAGTTCTTCCTTTCTTTCATGGATTTTATCATTCCGTCACCCCAGCTCTTCCACTCACCACTGTCAGACTCTGCTTATATCCCCCTCCACGCTTCAGCTTCCCAGCTGTGAGGTTGGAACCCTAGAATCTATCTCAGGATTGTGGGAAGCGGGAGAGGAGATAATGGAGCTCACAGTGCCCAGTACATTGTGAGCCCTATAAATGTTAGCTGTTGCTATTATTGCTCATTGATTTCTTCAAGTATTTAAGGAATATGTGTGCTGTGTGCCTTCCAGCTATTCCCCATGGGGAATATTCGAGAATTCTGATCAAGAATCTAGAGGACCTGGGTGTCTTCCTTGCTTTGTTATCTCAAATCCTATTCTCTGGGCCCCATTCATCCAACACGGTTGTTCACCCCTGAACTGTGTTCTCTGCAGTGAGGTCAGATACCAGGAGTGCTCTGTAAAGCATGGTGCGTGACATAGAGACGGATAGAAGGGGTTCACTCTGATCCATGGAGATAATTTGTTCTCAGTTCATTATTTCTGCTCTTAGACTCTGGGAAGAGAGACATCTCTTCCTCTGATCCTGGTCCTACTCTGGGCATCCTCTGATTATGTCCTTCCCCATGGGGTTAGGAGTCAATGGGGGCAAGTGGGATATATCCATTTGGAGACGGTGCCCTCCTCTCCTTCCAAGACCATGATTTGAGCAGCTGGAGCCTGGAATTCCCTGCCCAGAGAACACTTGTGCTTGCTTCCAGGGACCACGTGGGCTTTCCCCTGGAAGATGGGGCCCACTATGTGTGCACCTTAGGCAGGAAGAGTACCAAGGGACACTCCTGTTTGAGGTGCGGGGGGCCAGCTTGGATGTTCAGGCTGGAGTGTCCATGTCTTGCATGAAAGAGTCCTCACAGTGTGGGGCAGAGTTGGGGATGAGGGAGAAGAGAGCTGGGCTGTGGGCTGAGCCAGCTCCCCTCATGCCACCTTGTTCCTGCATAGAACTCTGAAGAATCCAAGCATTATAAATTCAAATCTGCTCTTTCATGTCATTATGAAGGGCTATTTCACAAAGGGCCATGGGATAGATTTTATTTGTCCCACTTGTTAGCTTGATTCATAACTGTTAAATATGCAGACATACGGCAGATGAGCCTCCATTTGCATTCCTGCACCAGGACCCACAAACTTTGGGTTGGGCCTGGAATTTGGATCGTGCTCTGGTTCACAACCCATCTCCAAGCTCCCTGCAGAGGCAAGGGCTGCTGCAGCTGTGCTTTCCACATTCTCGACACCTGTGCGATTGGGGGAGACTCTTAGGCTGCCCAGCAGAGCTACCTGGGCCCCGAGGCCCTGGGTAAGACCATCCAAAATAGTTCCTCACTGGCTTCTCTGCCTCCAGGTTTTCTTTGCATTGGGGTCTATTATCAGAGGGATTCTTTCTAGAAGATTCATCTGACCATGTTACTCTCCTGCTTAGATGGCTTCTTTTTTTTTTAACAGATTTTATTTATTTATTTGACAGAGAGATAGAGAGCACAAGGAGACAGAGAGGCAGGCAGAGGGAGAGGGGGAAGCAGGCTCCCCGCGGAGCAGTGAGCCCGATGCGGGACTCGATCCCAGGACCCCGGGACCATGACCTGAGCCAAAGGCAGCCGATCAACCAACTGAGCCACCCAGGCGCCCTAGATGGCTTCTTTTGCTCCCTCCTGCCCAGGGTCGGGTCTGAAGGCCTTGGTGGCCCAGCTTCATCGCCCATGACTACTGCTTATGGATCAACCCTCTCCAACCTTGCTTTTGTCCATGGTTCCCCTCTACCTCGTCCCCACCACCAGGCTCATCTCTGTGATGAAGTCCTTCTCACCCTCAAAGTGCAGTTGATGTCCCTACCCAGGAAAGCCTTCCATAAGCTCTGTCTCACTATTTCTTAATAATTATAATACTAGTAGCTATAATAATAGTTCCAATTGTCACTCCTTATGTGTCAGGCACTGTGCTTGCTGTTCATGGGCCTGAAGTCATCCCATTCTTGCAACAACCCTCTGGGTTTTTTTTTTTTTTAAAGATTTTATTTATTTGTGCGAGAGAGAGAGGGAGGCAGGAAGAGGGAGAAACAGGCTCCTTGTTAAGCAAGGAGCCTGATGTGGGACTCGATCCCAGGACCCTGGGATCATGACCTGAGCCAAAGGCAGACACTTCACCGACTGAGCCACCCAGGCGCCCCACAACAACCCTCTGATTATCCCTATCTTACTGATGAAGAAACTGGGACCTAGACAGGTGGTATAATTAGCCAAGGTCACACAACAGTAAGATAGAGCCGGGATTCCAACTAAGTTCTGATTGGCTTCACAAAGTGTCAGCCTTAAGCAGGGATGACTCATATCACATTATTATATAATTATCTATTCACAGCTCACTTCTCACCAATCCCCCAAACATACACATACTGGATGGAAATGCTCGGAGGTTGAGACAGCGTCTTATTTGCATCTGTATGCTGGGTGATGCCAGGTTCCAGGAATCAGCGTGGGGTCCTTCCTGGGCTAGAGGGATTGGAGGACTGTGGGATCAGATATATATGGCTCTGGCTGGCAGTGACAGGAAGGAGGCAGAGCAGCTCCGGGGGCTTTCTCAAGTTGGTTCTCTTATTCACCAGTTAGTTTGCTCTCAGAAGACATAGATTTCATAGTGTGGGAGGTGGTCTGGGGACAGTCGAAGGGTTCCCCAGTACTGGGGCCTGTTCTTAATGTCATGCCCTCACCAAATTCATTCATTACGAGAAACTCAGTCCACAACATTAAGAATCTCCTCCGTGCTTAACACGTGCGCACAGAGACAACCCTGGGGCGTGATAGAATGGTGAGGAGAGAAAAAGGCTTGGAACTCACCATCGAGCCATGTGAAGTTTTTAGAAAGCACTTAACCCCATGTCTGAGTCTCTGGATTTGGGGTCTGGGCATGTGAAATTTTGAAAATTCCCTCAGATTATTCTTTTGGTAGATAAAGCTCCACCCCTTCCAAGTCCCCTGCCAGATTTCCTTCGTTCCTAATAGCCCCCAAACTGTGAGACTCTCTGAGCTGGGCAACTTCCCCTTATCTTCCCATTTCACAGGGGGGAAACTGAGGTCCAAG